AGAGAGAGAGAGAGAAAGAGCGAGATAGAGGGAGGAAACTTGGCATTTATATCTTGTATCTTGTATCGTTCCGTTACAAAAAAAATAAATTACGAATCTCGAAAAATGCGTAACCGACAAGATGATGAATCGATGTAACAAAAGTAACAAATCGCATCATTTCTGATGATGAAACTGTCAAAGAGTCACTCGAATTCTAGGAATAACGGTATAAAGTCAGAGGAAACTCATGATTGAGGCAGGGATCCTGATTAGCGTGCTACGGTTCAAAAAGTTTTTACTGAGAGTCCGCAGAACTTGTCAGTGTAACGGTGAGCAGAGAAAGCTCAACTTCGCGAAGAGTCCTTTTATAATTGGCCCGATGCCAAATACGCCGACATATCGTCATACAGGCATAAAATATGTATTTGGAAAGTTAAACGGAAGATTTAAATAATTATTCGAAAATTCTACATAACAAACAATTTAACAGCAAAATGACAGTAATGTCAATCCTCAATAACGAACAATATAAAATAATTCAAAGTGATACTTATAAGTTTTGTCAGATATAGATATATATATATATATATATATATATATCTCATTTATTCTCTTCATTCTTTTAAAAAAGAAAAAGAAAATAGAAATTTAAACTTACAAAAAGTTTTACTCTTCAGTAACTGGACAGATCTAAGGTTAATGTATCATTAGGAACACTTGACAGTTTGCCGATTTCCGGAACCGTGATATTGACGTCCCAAAGGTTTTCTCGCAAGCGTATATACCATGCAACTGACTCTGTGATTCTCCTACGCGCCTGTCCAATCATGCCGCGTGATTTAATTCAAAATGTATATACCATAAGCGAGGTTACGTATACATTATATGCAACGGAGTTACTCCGAATCTAGCCCACGGGTTTATACGTTCATCCTTATCCCGGCAACGATAAACTAATCGGTCGTGCAAATAGATATACATCGTAACTCATCTTCTCAGTTTTCCCCGATCAATCGACTCGAGCTATCAATATTTCAAAACTAGCCATTGAGAGAATATTTTCGTGCGATGCAAAAAGTATGCGTCTATTTATACGATTTAAATCAAATTTAGTAGAATCCATATAGCTGCCAAAAGCGAAAAGATTAAGGATTTAATGTCGAAATATCTCTGATTGATCGACAGCTTTATATTTATATACATATACATACATATATGTGTATGTATGTGTGTGTGTGTGTGTGTGTGTGTGTGTATATATTTTTTTTGTTTATATATATATATATATATATCTTACTTTTCACTATTCGTATTCTGTCAAAAGGTTTAATGAGTTTTGTTCATTTTTTATTGAGAGACTACGCAAACAGCAGTGTACTGTAACTTTGTTCGGGCGTAACGTTCGTCGGATCTTTCGAGGCGTTATTTCCGCGCAATTCCGGCTTGTAATTTCCGCAGGCAGCGGTAGCGTTTACGTGCAAGTACGTCGTGTTTTGCAATGACTTGAGAGTTCTTGGAAAACCTCAATCTATTACAGTCGCGTGCTTGGATTTAATATTCTTTTGACAAACATATATTCTTCATATTAACAATTTAAATATATCGACAACGTCTTATTTCATTTAGTTTCGATCTGTCGAAAAATCATAAAATACATATAAAGCTTCTTTCAAATATGTCAATGCATCGACTACATTCCGTTACTTATGCTAATCTATAGAGAAATCTATAGAGAGATCAATTTTCTTTCCCTCTCTCCTTTTCATTTACGCTGTATTCGGATGACAAGCGCTAAAAATCGTGTATTATTGATTATTGAATTTCACAGATAACTCTATTATGTATAAAAAAGATCTTCTTCATTCAAATAATTTATTATTATTGTTTCACTCATTATTATTTCAGATTTCAGTTTCT